GCACATATGCCTTGGGACACGTGGATATTCAGAATCTTCATAGCAGCAGTATTCATAAGAACACAAAAACAGGAAAATGATCACATCCTCATCAAAAGACTGGCTATAGACATAACGATAGATTCAATAAAATTAAATATAGAGCAATGGAAATAAACTATGGCTGCATAGATAATATGGAACAGTCCTAGTAACATTATGAATGAAAAATGAAAGTCTTAGAAGATTATATACTGTATGTTTTTAAACTATAAGTTTATTTGAACTCTAACTTCAAAAACAAGCAAAATTAAAACAATATATTTTTTAAGAGGCATCTGTGTACATGAACATTCATATACACATAGGAACTTTAAAATTCTTTAAAGTTCTCAAGAAGGGGATTGCATAATACCAGATTCAGGATGGTAGCTAATAATGAGGATAGGCGCTGGATAAAAATGGAGCATTGGGCCCTGCCTGGTGGGGTATCAGGTTGAAGCACAGCACTAAAAAACTAAAGCCACTTCAGCATGAGTTCGATCCCCGCCTAGGAGGTGACCACAGGGCTTGGCAGACCTCTCCTGACCCGCCCACTGCTCCCCTCAGCAGTGTACTTCATCAGTCAGCCTGTTCTACTCCCGTTTCTGTCTCTGGTGAGTCCTCTCTCCCCTTTCTGTCTCTGGTGAGTCCTCTCACCGCCCCTGCACCTCTGGCCTGTATGCCAGTTCTGTATGAATAAATAAATAAATCTTAAAAAAAAAAAGTATTATGATTACACCAATTCTATGCGTTCAAGTTCAAAGACAAAGTGTAACAGCAAATATTTATATAGTGTTAACCATGTACTAAATATACTATTCTAAGCTTTTTGTATGTTTTAACTCATGCAGTACTCACAGTGAAGATTAAAAAAATCAAAGCCTAGAGAAATTAACAATAACTCTACTGATGCCCACAGCAGTTAGGATTAATTCAGGTTGACTGGTTCCAGAGTCCTTGCTCTTAACCACTGCCCTATAAGATGTCTAAATAAATGAAAGAGATAATTATATTAGGGGTTAGTCATGGAGCAGTAGTTATAGCAGAGTGTTTTCTATAATAATGTTAAAGGACTAAAAACCACCGAGTTGCATACTTTAAATGGGTGAACTTCATGGTATGTAAATTATATCCTAATAAAACTGTTAAAAAAAAAAAGCCCACAAGCCACAAGATTGTGTCTTTATAATGCAAATTGGGTCCTAACTGATTGCTGGCTATTTTAGGGATTTCATATATGCTTATGGATAAAATATGTCCTTTTTTTCTGCAGACTAAACAAAAGAAAACTGTCACTTTATGAAGAGAGATAAAGAATTTGTTATTGTGAGTAACACAAAGTTCAATTGCCAGCTTTAGTCCTTTATGCATCTGACAAAAAATAAAGGGCTCTCAGTTCTCAAGATAAATTTCATATTACAATTAAAGTTGTCTCTGTGTGTACTAAGGCTACACAAAAGATGATGGAAAGAAGACATTTGGCTGAAAACATACTAAGATCATTTAATTTTGCAGTTTTATTTTATGAGCATATCTTTTATTTTGCTTTTTCCTTTTAAATATAAAACTGATTTATAAGCCGCTTTGTATAGAGAGTTAATGTGGCATCTCTCCTTCACGCTGCTGTAATACTCAGGAAATCTCTTGGTAGCTTAACTAGTTTTTCATGGCTATGAGAGATATTCCTTGCCCAGGTCAACCTAAAAATTGGACATAGATCACAAGGGGGGCAAATGTAAGCTTGGAAAATGTCTCAGCAACTCCATCACCAGCATCACCAAAAGGGTTCAAAGTCTTTGCCTGCAAAACTATGGGTACTTTCACCCTTTCCCAGTCCTCTCTCTCAAGCACGCCTGTGAAAATAGGGTGACACGAGCTCAAACAGCTTCATACTTTAAAAAGCATAAAAGGAAAGGAAAACAAAATCTCAATCATTTATTTTAAATACAGCACAGATCAACAAATGATGTCATTGTTTAGTTCTGTCCCCCGCATTTTTTCTCTCCCACCCGCACTCCTTTCTCTTTCCTCAACGACCACCCCCACCCCAATCATGAACTGTATTTTGGCTATCACTATAGCTAGTAACAAGACTCCTGACCCTGTTTTTGTCCATGCATAGATTTTACCAGTTCTTGATACACTATCAGTCTATAAGCCTTTCTGCTACAGCATCTGTGGGCAGTAGCTTCCAGCAAGTTCCCTAGTGTTTCAAATAGCAAGTCACTTAGCTTGACAGAGCCTTTGACAATGCCACCCACATTTATACCAGCCCCCCTGAACTGTCCCTTAACTCCTGTGCTTCCTCTGTCTCTCTCATGATGTTTGGGAAACTACTGATTTGTTGGGTCATTTTCTTTTTCTTTGATTAGTGAACCACCTTACCTAGGTAAATTTAGATAAAAAAAGAATCACTCTGGAGTGTGCTTTATTCACACTATTAAGTAATCAGTAATGGCTTTATTTCAATTTTGCATTGTATTCCTGTAAACTTGAAACAGATTGAAATTGCCTCGCTATGTAAGGCTTTTTCTTTGAATACTTTGTGCTCTTACAAATAATGTGTTCAGGTTTTTTTAATCCTCTTCCAGATTTTTATCTTTAAATATAATTTCCCACTAAAAGGAACCAGAACTCCTGGAGACATAGCTAATTCCTTGTCTGGAGCAGGAAATAAACCAGATAAGCCTGGAATAAAATAATAAAGTGAGGAGAGAATGGGAAGAGTGTAGATGAAAGAATATTGACATGATATGAAAATTGTTGAAATTGAGTGCTGAGTATATGTATTCTATTTTTGTATACATTTTACTTTTTTTCTGTAAGTTTTGTTAAAGTTAAACATTCCTATTTTTAGAAACAAAATTAACAGCATGCCTGTAGTGAGACAAGATTGTGTGTGTGTGTTTTAGTAATTCATTAGGGTAAAAAATAACAAACTGATTATCTCTCCCCTCCAGAGCCTCAACCCCACCTCCCTCCTCAGCGTGGTCTTGGTAAGGATTTCCCAAGTATTCTCAATGAAGTTTCTATGAATCTATTAAAGAATGTATGTATATTAAAATAAAAACAACTTAAGTGGTAGGTAGCATATTACACATACTGCTCTCTACCTAACAGGTTTATTTTAATAGCTAATTTTAATAGCTAATTTTAATACAATGAGAGTATCTACATACTACACTACCATGGATTTTTATGTTTTAGATATTAGGTTCTTTCAAGCTGCCTTGCTCTCTGTATAAAAGGTCCACGTCTCACTTTCAAGATCATTTCAAAGGTAAGATTAAACAGATTTCAGTCTCTTATCTAAAACAGTTTTCAAGTTCAGTTTTTTGGTGGGACAATTTTGTTACCTTGGAAAATGTCACGTTTAAGTATGTCTCATTCCTACTACGCGTTGGCTCTGGAGAGTCGTGCTTAAGAGTGGGATCTGTACAACGTGCTTAAACCTCTGCACCTCCTGGTGCAGGAAACCTAAGCGCTGCAAACTCAGCATTGCCCACCCCCGCCCGTGGGTGAGCAGCGGGACAGAAACCTTTTCTATCATCTCCCTATCACCCGCCCCTCGCACCGGAGTCTCCCTGTCTGGTTCTACCAAGTCTTTGAGAAGAATGAAATCTGGGTCTGAACAGCGAATGATGGAGAGATGCAAAGGAGTGAATTTAGACAGCAAGTTGGCTGAGCGACTGGATTCGACCATAAACTAACCCTGATGCAGGCTGGGTACCAGTAGCAGTAGAAAAAATGTGACACACGTGCTGAGAACGTACATTTCACTAGACTGCTTAATCGAGAGATGCATTCGATATGGAATTTCAAAAAAAAGCTATATATAATATGGCATTTTCAACATAAAACAGGAATCTCAGACAGTCCCGGCAAGCCTGCGGGAGGCGAACCCGGGAGCGCCGTCATTCCCCTCGGTTACCCAGGGAATTTGGGCGGGAACCGTGAACTCCGCGAGCCGGCTCCCCGCCCAGCCGCCCCGCGCGGCTTCCAAGCGGCGGGACCCGAGAGCATGCCCCGGGGCGTTAGTGTGAGCGGGGATTTCGCGAACTGCGGAGCTCCAGGGCGCCGCCGCAGGTGGCAGGCACCGCGGGCGGCGCTTTCTCGCGCTCGGGAAGGTGGGGCTTTTTCACGCCGTTCGCGGAGAGGCCACAGGGATTAAAACGGCGTCCGCCCCGGGACTGCTTCGGAGGGGTTTGTGGGCTCCGACAGCGTAGGGCCTGTCCAGTCTTTGGCCCTGCACAGGTCAGGTATGGGGAACCCAGCAGTTCTGAGCTCCGTGGGTCCAAGCTCAACCAAGCACGCCCGGGACTGAATAAATGTTTGAGTGGAAAGCGCCAAGAGCGTGGGGGGGCGGGGCTGGCTGTCGGTCACCATCTCGCGACGTCTAAGTGACGTCGCACAGCATGCGCGTGTTCTATTCTTTCACCTTCAGTCTCAATATCCCGGCCTACTCCTTTAAGTGAATGATGGACAGTTATTTGCGCCTATCAACGTGCTCGTCAACATCCAATCAAATTTAAATTTCTTTCAGCCGCTGGTGAAAAGAGGAATGCTCTTTCTCTCGCGAGATCGCTGAGAGCCGGCCTCTCAGAGAAAAACGCTAGAACAGATGGTCCAACTTCCCAAATAGTGGGGTAAAGGACGGGGCCACAAACCAATGAGAGGGATGAAGAGGCGGGATCACTGCTTTCAGCGCGCAAGAAGTACCGTTACAGGGCAGACTTTTTGTCCAATCAACGCCTCCAGATTTTGGATCAGGTGACCACAGAGTGTGAGGGGAGGAGCTACAACCTGGCGCGAGGAACCGTTAAGATGGACAACGAATATAACCAATGAGATACTCTGTCTGGGGCGTTGGGAACCCAATAACAGTGGTTGGGCGGGCGCCTTCCCAGAGCGCGGGGAGATGTAAAGACTGACAAACAGTTTTCCCAATGAGACTGTAGAAGAGAGGACATAGTTGACCAATGAAGGCTGTGGGGCGGGATCCTTTGCCGCGGTGGAGTCCAAGATGGCGGCGTGCGGTTCCGCTGTGTGAAACCAGCGCGGGGCGGCGGGTTAGTCAGCTCCGCGGAGACGACCTCCGACGACCCGCAATAATGAAGGGAAAAGAGCGCTCCCCAGTCAAGCCCAAACGCTCCCGTGGCGGTGAGGACTCGACATCCCGTGGGGAGCGCAGCAAGAAGTTAGGGGGCTCTGGCGGCAGCAATGGGAGCAGCAGCGGAAAGACCGACAGCGGCGGTGGGTCTCGGCGCAGCCTTCATCTAGATAAGTCCAGTAGCCGCGGTGGCAGCCGCGAGTATGACACTGGTGGGGGCAGCTCCAGTAGCCGCTTGCATAGTTACAGCTCCCCTAGCACCAAAAATTCTTCGGGCGGGGGCGAGTCGCGCAGCAGCTCCCGGGGTGGAGGCGGGGAGTCACGTTCCTCTGGGGCCGCCTCCTCAGCTCCTGACGGCGGGGAATACAAGACCCTGAAGATAAGCGAGTTGGGGTCCCAGCTGAGTGACGAGGCGGTAGAGGACGGACTGTTTCATGAGTTTAAGCGCTTTGGTGATGTAAGTGTCAAAATCAGTCACCTCTCGGGTTCTGGCAGCGGGGATGAGCGAGTCGCCTTTGTGAACTTCCGGCGGTCAGAGGACGCGCGGGCGGCCAAGCATGCCAGAGGCCGCCTAGTGCTCTATGACCGGCCGCTGAAGATAGAAGCTGTGTATGTGAGCCGGCGCCGCAGCCGCTCCCCCTTGGACAAAGATTCCTACCCTCCGTCAGCCAGCTTGGCCGGGGCGTCTGTTGGGGGTCACCGGCACCCCCCGGGAGGAGGTGGCGGCGGCCAAAGATCACTTTCTCCTGGGGGCGCCGCCTTGGGTTACAGAGACTACCGGTTGCAGCAATTGGCTCTTGGCCGCCTGCCCCCTCCGCCTCCGCCTCCATTGCCCCGAGAACTGGAAAGAGAGCGAGACTACCCGTTTTATGAGCGAGTGCGCCCAGCTTACAGTCTTGAGCCGCGGGTGGGAGCTGGGGCAGGATCTGCTGCTTTCAGAGAAGTGGATGAGATCTCACCCGAGGATGATCAGCGAGCTAACCGGACGCTTTTCTTGGGCAACTTAGACATCACTGTGACAGAGAGTGATCTCAGAAGGGCTTTTGATCGTTTTGGAGTTATCACAGAAGTAGACATCAAGAGGCCATCAAGGGGTCAGACTAGTACCTATGGCTTTCTTAAATTTGAAAACCTAGACATGTCTCACCGGGCCAAATTAGCAATGTCTGGAAAAATTATCATTCGGAATCCTATTAAAATTGGTTATGGTAAAGCAACACCCACCACCCGCCTCTGGGTAGGAGGCCTGGGACCCTGGGTGCCTCTTGCTGCCCTGGCACGGGAGTTTGACCGGTTTGGCACCATACGTACCATAGACTACCGCAAAGGTGATAGTTGGGCATATATCCAGTATGAGAGCCTGGATGCAGCTCATGCGGCCTGGACCCACATGCGGGGCTTCCCACTGGGTGGGCCCGATCGTCGCCTTAGAGTAGACTTTGCAGATACAGAACATCGTTACCAGCAGCAATATCTGCAGCCTCTGCCCTTAACTCATTATGAACTGGTGACAGATGCTTTTGGACATCGGGCACCTGACCCTTTGAGGGGTGCTCGGGATAGGACACCACCCTTACTCTACAGAGATCGTGACAGGGACCTGTATTCTGACTCTGACTGGGTACCACCCCCGCCGCCGGTCCGGGAACGCAGCACTCGGACTGCAGCTACTGCTGTGCCTGCTTATGAGCCACTGGATAGCCTGGATCGCAGGCGGGATGGCTGGTCTTTGGACCGGGATAGAGGTGATCGAGATCTGCCTAGTAGCAGAGACCAGCCTCGAAAGCGAAGGCTCCCGGAGGACAGTGGGGGACGACATCTGGATAGGTCCCCAGAGAGTGATCGCCCACGGAAACGTCACTGTGCTCCTTCTCCTGACCGCAGTCCAGAGCTGAGCAGTAGCCGGGATCGCTACAACAGCGATAATGATCGCTCTTCCCGGCCTCTGCTCTTGGAAAGGCCCTCTCCAATCAGAGACAGACGAGGCAGTTTGGAGAAGAGCCAGGGTGATAAGCGAGATCGTAAGAACTCAGCATCAGCTGAACGGGATAGGAAACACCGGGCAGCAGCTTCCACTGAGGGGAAAAGCCCTCTGAAAAAGGAAGACCGGTCTGATGGGAGTGCACCCAGTACCAGCACTGCTTCATCGAAGCTGAAGTCTCCTTCCCAGAAACAGGATAGTGGGACAGCCCCGGCGGCGGCAGCAGCAGCAGCAGCCTCTCCTAAACTCTGTTTGGCCTGGCAGGGCATGCTTCTATTGAAGAACAGCAATTTTCCTTCCAACATGCATCTGTTGCAGGGTGACCTCCAAGTGGCCAGCAGTCTTCTTGTGGAAGGCTCAACTGGAGGCAAAGTGGCCCAACTCAAAATCACTCAGCGTCTTCGTTTGGACCAGCCCAAGTTGGATGAAGTAACTCGACGCATCAAAGTGGCAGGGCCCAATGGTTATGCTATTCTTCTGGCTGTGCCTGGAAGTTCAGACAGCCGGTCCTCCTCTTCCTCAGCCACGTCAGACACTGCCACCTCTACTCAGAGGCCACTTAGGAACCTTGTGTCCTATTTAAAGCAAAAGCAGGCAGCTGGGGTGATCAGCCTCCCTGTGGGAGGCAACAAAGACAAGGAAAACACCGGGGTCCTTCATGCCTTCCCACCCTGTGAGTTCTCCCAGCAGTTCCTGGATTCCCCTGCCAAGGCACTGGCCAAATCTGAAGAAGATTACCTGGTCATGATCATTGTCCGTGGTGCGTCCTAAAGTCCATGTGTAACTTGTATTTACTACTTTGACATGGGTCCTGTTTTGTGATACGTAATGGGATACAGCATCAGATGATGTTTTCTTTTTGATTACTTGTTTAGTTGTAGCTTTTTTCTTTTTTATATTTTTATAAGCCTCTTTAAAATAGAAGTCAGGACAGTTTAGCTGTATTTTAAAATGAAAGGGATGCCCTGAAGGTAGCAGGCAGATGGGTTTGCTTTAATTAGGAGTTCCCAATTTTATGAGTAACTTCCCCCCTTCTTTTTTTTTTTAAAGAAAAACCTTGAGCTTAAAAAAGAATTCCTCAAAGTTACAAAACCAAAATTTTGAAAAGTCAGGCTTTTGGAGGAAAAAGCCCAATGACTATATAAAGATGGTAATAGACATCTAAAAAGGGCTTGATTGGTACGTAGGTAAATAGTCCCTGTGCCAGAAATGTTATTTGTGTGGCTGAAATTTGATCAGGAATCTCAAAAGTAAATGGAATAGCAATATAATTTTAATCAGGTTTATGAGTATTTCTCTTAAAATACATGGTTTATTCCCAGAGAATCTCTTTAACATATGCATTTTTATCATTAGTTCTTGAGTTCTGTATCCCATATATGCACTTTTGGTTTGTAGCTGTAACTTTTGAGGTATATGTTACAAACCATACGTGTCTTAATGCTTACACTAGTGTGCAAGAAGTGAGTAGGTGCTTTTAACATCGAAATTCTTTGGTCAATTCAATTACTGGTTTGTGGTGGTATTTCCAGTGACTTTCAGAGAGGTTTAGCAGGTACAGTTGTAACTTAATTGTGCATATTTCAAAACATAAATGTTTTCCATCAAAGTTAAGTTTTGTTTTTGTATCCATTCACATTTCTGACTTCAGTAATAGAAAGAAGAGTTGTCTGCAGGCTCATAAAAGTCATCTTGTTTTCACTGGGCATTAATCAGCCATATCTACATTACAGATTTTTCAAGTCATGGTGAAATGCCTTTGACATGCTCTGTAAAACTGTTGCTTATATATTTTTTCAAGCGTATACAGTAGTGGTTACATTACATTGTTGAAATTGTTTTGAATAATTTTGAAATTTCATGGTTAATATTTTTACCAATTTCAGAATTGAAATGTCAGTGTAGGAAAACCCTTTTTTATTATTTTATTTTCACATAATACCAGAAGTTAATACAGATTAGCTTAACCTACCCTCACAGTTTTTTTTTGTTTGTTTTTGTTTTTTTCCAGAGCTGAAGATTTTATCAACTCCTGGTTCTTAACAAGGGCTTTTGCTGGTTACTAGTAATGGATTCTTTTCTTTTTTGTTGTGACTGTTTTTGTTTTTACTCTTATTTGTCACCCTCCTGCCCCAACTCCTAGTTTCTCAGGTCATTAGTACATTCCCCCCCCACCCCCCTTGGTTTAAATACCGAGGACCTTAGCTAAAGCCCTTGATAATTAATTATGATTAGAAACTTTAGGACCTTTTGGATCATGGTCATGTTTCTGTTCTGTGAAAGTGACTTGTTGAAAGCCTAGCAGAAGCCAACTGTTTTCTTTCTGTTATCAAAGCTGGTAGTTTTGAAATAGCACCAATAATAACCCAGGGAAATGTCATGTAATTTATTATTTTCCGTTTTGACAGGTGTCTAAATGCATGTGAGCATGAGAGCCTCATCACTGCTGTGTCATCCATTTTAATTTTCACTGTGCTTTTATAAATTTTAAGTTTGGAGGTTTTTGTTTTTAAACTGGAAAAATTAGTCATTTTCAGAGGAGGAAGATGAACACAACAGTTCTTGGTGTGCTTATAAGGAGGGGAAAATATCATTAAGACTAAGTGCTTCTTGCTTTTAAAAAGCTATGACCAGAATGTCAATATACTGAGAGTAAGGTACCTGCTGACAAACTAATGCAGGTGTGCACTCCATGGGGTCAGAGTACAATTTGTGACTAGATACATTTTTCCAGTTTAAATAAAGTCACTACCCATTAACTTTTGAATATCTATTGATAAGATGGTTGGACAAATGATTTTGCTCTTTTAGAGCGAAGTCCATGACTCCCGATTTTTACTGTAATAACAAAATATGTGTGGTTTTCTCTCTTTTTTGTTTTGTTTTTAAGTTTATTGATGTGACAGCTTACTGTGGTTTTTGCTCCATGTTTGTTTGAATCTATCTGACATGAGGGCTTTTGTTAGATCTTGGCAATTTGTGCTTCAATGTTTTTTGAAACAACAGCTTGGTACCTTTCTAAATGTATGTATTATAGGTAACTAATTATGTTTAGTTTGGTGCTTACCTACCAAGTGCCATCACTAGATGAATCTCTTATTTGTGTTACCTAGGTATAATATTTGTGAAGTATCTACTCAGATCTTCAGAATGGAATGAAAGCAAAAGTCCAAAACTATCTGGTTCTAATTCTCATTAGTCAGAATTTCATAATCCCTACATTGGATGTTCTGCTTGACAACCGATTTTTCTTTTACCTTAAAAATTTTTTGATTTTCTGAAACTGGGTTCAAATGCATGGAAAGAAAATCTCTTCAGTTTATGTACCATTTAATGATTACTAAGTTACTGGCAAAAAATACCAAACTAATGAAGACTTTTAAAACTCAACTTCAGAGTTGATGGAAAATGAGGCAATTATCTAGCCCCGACCCAGTTTTTTTTTTTTTTATTTGCTGGTCCTAACAGATTCCTATGATGAGTTTTCCACACAAAATTAAATACCTGGTGTAAGATGTATACTGTAACTGAACTGAGAGTAGAGTGTTCCCTTTAAGGATTGCATCTTAAAATTGCTTTTTACATTTTGAAGGTAATATACTCTGGCCCTTCTTGATTCAATTAATTAGATCACTTGAGGAATAGTACAAGTAAAGTGTGTTTCAGAGTCAAACACTGTTTTAAGTTTATTTAAGAACTTTTATGAGCAGGTTTTCACTGATGATGCTTTTTTAAAAAAAATGCAAATTCACGTTTTTTAGACATGACTTGCTCTTTATGCAAGTCCAGTTTGAATTATAGTTTTTGGGTCCATAGAGGAACCATTCATCAAAAACTGGTAGCAGAATTAGGAAACTCTCGTGAGAAGAGGGCCTTAATGACCTCCTATGTGGGAAAAATTTTCTGGAGAGTATTTCTGGAGATTTTTTTTTTCCCCCTTTTTTTCTGTCTCTGCCACAGTGTTTGGCTTTGAGATACAGAAGTGTGGAGCTGACTGTTAACATTCTGGTTATGGTGATGTCCCTAAAGGGAGAACATTATTTCAGTAACCACAGTGAACTGTTAAGCATAATGAAGAATTTTATGTGTATGATTTAAACAGTTGATGAGTAAAGTCCCAAAGTGTTCTTTGGCTGTTTAGTGATTGTATGAGTGTTTCTTAAAAGAAAGTAACGGCTGCTGTCTTTGGTAACACAGATGAAGGTGGATTTTTAAGCGGCTTTGTATCTTGAGCCCTTCTGCAAATAACGGAGTAGTTGAGTTGCTCCATTTAAGTTACAGAGTGAAATAGAGGCGCTAGAAGTTTGACTGAACTCCACCTTTTTATAGTTTCAAATCAACATTTTAAGTTATAATGACATATTAATTAGAAACTTGCTTTTTCTGAAATTTCTTGACATGTTTTACTCAGTTACATGAGTATAAAGGATTTTTTCAGTCCTGTAATCCTAAATTAATTGCAGTCTTTTAGTAAAAAAAACCCACCCTATTCTACTTGTTACTTGTCTGTTCATACAGTAATTTCATTTCAAGGTTTGTGCCAGTGGGTATTATTGGTGCTTTATGAAGTCACGATGGACTGTCCAGGAAGGTCCTGTTAATGTTTATGTTCATCTATAATGGCATAGGGGAAATATATATATTTTTAATATTGTAAACATTTGTACTGAATAACCTTTTTTTCCCCCCCTGCAAGCAAAACTGGTGAACAGCAGATGAAGATATGGAATTCAAAGCTCTAATGGACCTTTTTGAAGAGAAGTTGTGGCTTATGTGGAGTTTACATGGGCCTCTTGATGGAAGAAAAGCTAATCTGTTTAGTATTTGTGCATTTTACTAAAATGGCAGCTTAAAGTTGTGTATCTGCTATTGTGATGCCAATGCCGGTGTTTTAAGTGGAAAAAAAATGACCTTTGCTTTGTGCTGTGTACACAAGATTTCTGGAAAAGTAAAGAAAAAACCCTTTTTATGGCTCACACAGCTTAAAAGTAGCTGTCACTCAAACGTGCGCTCACAGTTGAGCTGCTTTTGTTTTATTCTAAATAAATTGTTTCTTTTGAGGAAAATGTTTTTCTGCCTGGAAGTGAATTGACGGCAAACCTTTGACCCCTTTGTTTGCAGCTGAGGGGGTACTTGCTGCTGCTCAGATCTTTTAAGTCTTGAGCAAGAAGCAGGGAGACCATCATTTTGACTATTGCGGTGTATCAATTCTGAAGGATCACTAGTGTCACTGTGACCCCCTTTGTTTGCAGTGAAGGGGATCACTTGCTTCTCAGTCCTCAACTTGCTGAGGAAATGGTGCTGTTTGCTGGCACACAAGAAGCCCGGGCAAGCACCGTAAGCCTCACCACAGTGCACGAGTCTGGGGCTTTGCTGGTTTGAAGAGCCGGAGTTGCTGAAATTTAAGTTTTGATTTATTTTGTTCACCCATCACGTTTGGCCTTAGTTTCATTTTTAATTTGAAGAAAAAGTTTGAAATTGCTTTGTCTTGCACTTAACATTTGCACCAAATTGCCAAAAGAAGGAGAAATGCTCCACTTGCTTTTAAAATGTTAATGATGATGTTAATAAAGCCTTTCCTGACACATTTGAGGAGCTCCTCCATCTCCAGGGGCTTCTTACCAGAGTTATGCAGTGATGGGTTTAGTTCTGAATGGATGAAGAGTTCCTGAGAGCTAGCGTTTGTAATTAGAACCGTTACTCGGTATCTGTGCCTTATTTGACCTGTGGTTCCACATGCCTTGGATGAGCATGCACCGTGACGGTTTCATAGGTACGAACGCACACTCAGGCCCAGTCACTTCGGTTGGTAGTACAGATTGTGAGGAAAAAATGGAGGCATCCCTAAGGAGGAAAAAAGTGTTTGCCTTTAGTTCCTGCATTATCCTGTACAGGGGCTCCTGAGCTTTGGAAGCTGTTCCCAGTACAGGAGAACAACTCCCTGTTTGCCGCAGGAGACTTCGGTGCACAGTGACAACGCTGGAGTTCAAGAGGAAGCCAGCAGTGCTGCACCTTTGGCTTCAGACACCATTGTTGTTTGCCAGTTTTAAACTTAACTAGTTGCAGACGAAGACCACCTTGAAATGCAGGCTTGTTGGGCTTGTTTTGAATCTTAACCTCGGATGGAAGAGCCCTAGTGCTGTCTTGCACCATGCGGGATGATGATTACTTAGGCAACAGGTGATTATCAACCGAGGATGCCACGATTATACTCTGCAAGGTGGTGTTCCAGTGGCAAACAGCTGTATAAACTCTTATAACCAGGTAAGAGGGCTTTTAGAGGTCAAAATGCTTTATAATTAATAGGGTGAGGGCTTTTAATGTTTCAGGTTGTTTGGATGGAAGGCCTTGGGCACTCTGCTATGTTTCTAGCTTCTTCCCATCACCAACTGTTGTATTTACAAATTCCCAGCCAGGTCTTCTACTTGGTATTTAAATTTTTAAAATTTATTTTATTTGAAACATTTATTTGGAAAAATTCTCTTTATGTGGTTCTATGGAACTGGGACCTACTACCCTGAGGGCTTAAAAATTTGGTATATTCCATTCACTGTGTGACCTTCACCCTTAGTTGTGGTTTGATGATGGTGGAAGAACTACTGTGAAAACGTTGCTTGTTGTAAACACTGTTTTATAAGTCTCCAAGTTAAGAATATTATAATACATAGCAAAAAAAAAAAAAAAGTATGTAATACGGTACATAGTCCAAAAAAAGTGGACCATCATAGTGGGAGTGATAATTTAGCTAGAAATGGTTAGTTTTTTTTTCTTATACCACAATGAGGTTAATTATAAAATTAAGCGATTGTAACTTTAGGGAAGTGAATGGAAAGTGTTGAGAAAGGTCTGGCTTTTGTCTATTAAAGTTTCATTGTTTAATTGGTCCTTCTGGACGAAGGTCTTTCCAGCCTCTCCTGATACTGAGTATTGGAAACTGTGACAGCTTAGCACAAGCATAACTTTTTTAGTGTATAATACAACTTAGGGTTCCTGGCTTTGTTTTAAATGGGATAAAAAATTTTGAATAGAAATTTTCTTTATCGTGATTTTTTTTTTAAGATATTTTTCCTTTTAGAGGAATGATTGTTGTTACAACAGTAGATTTGTATTAGCTACTCTCCTTCAGGTTTGATTGAACTCCTTCCTTGGATTGTTTAGCTGGATTGTTTACGCACACATACTTTAAAACAGTAAATACAGAAAAATGAAATCCAGTGGTTTTTCTTGGGTTCTCAGTATCATTCTAAAAGTTTTAAGCATCTACCCATGAATTGGCTGCCCATCTAAAATTTTTGTTAAGTAATCTCTCACCTACATTTCTTTAAACATTTTGTCCCTGTTGAAAATGTTAGTTTCCAGTGTATTTTGGTTCGCTGGCTAGTTCATACTGAAAACTCATTATTTTTTGCAGTTGGCAAACATATCTAGTGATTTGAAAATTATGTCACAGTCTCCATATTTCTGTTGGTACCAATCTCTAAGGTCTCAGACTTAAAAAAAAAAAAAATGTTGCAAGCAGGGTAAGAGGCTGTGTCATACAAAATAATATGACAAACATTTTTAAATTCATGGAGTGTTTTTATTTACAGCTATTCTATGAAGGAAAATTATTAAATTGGGCTGAGTGTTGTACAGTTCTGATTATATAAACTGAAAACTCTTCAGTTATTTGTGTTGTTTCCGAGTGTCTTTCCTATAATCTCAGTTTAGAAAATAGTCCTACTTTAAGGGAAATGGTTCTAAGAGCATCTCTGAATTGAATTGTGCTCATTTTGAAAGCCTGGATGTACTTAAATTGAAAATAGGGATTACCTTTATTTCAGTAAAACAATATAGATTTTATAAATTTGCCATATCTGTAGCTTGTCACATTGTTTACAAGCTGTTCATCTGAGGCAATAAATTTAGTGCTTAAGGCTTTTATGCAGCATTTTCTTTTTGAAATAGTATATCTGATAATGGCTTATGGATCACCATCTCATCTCCCACTCCAAATTACTCTAAGTCTCCCTGGTTAAAAGACTTTTTTAAACTTAATAACTTGAATTATAATCTAGTTTTAAAGTTTAGCAGAGGAATTTATTGGATAATAAAGTTCCTTCAAACCTCAGATAAAATTGTTTTAGATTTTGACCTTGAGGTAAAATTACTTGTTTCTGCAAATGGCTGAAATAGTAAGCTTTTAGGAAGGGTTTCTGTGAAGTCATTTGAATGCTGCCCTGTTAATAAGAACTGAGATGCTGAGCTGACAGAAGAAAATAGCAAATAGTCTACCACAGTCACATTTATTCTAGTAGGGAAAAACCAGATACAAGAGTTAAGTATCAGGGGAGAAGATTATAGTATAGGAAAGGTGTCAATTTGATAAATTACTAGTGAATTAATATAGTTGATATGGATAAGTAAATAGTTGTACAAACAGGCTACTTTATACTGTGATGGTTAAGAAAAGCCTTATGAATAAATTTGTTGGAAAAGAATGGATTGATGGCATGAGGGTTTTAGGTGTCAGACAAGCATGCAAAAATAGTGACAAGTTTGTTGATGATGGATGGAGGTTTTAACATAGAAAACTGGTAGGATGGTTGGATCAACGAAGATAAGAACTCCTGAGGGCAAGCCAGTTTAAGTAGGGTGGGATGTAAGAAATAACTAATTGGTAAATACTTACATAAAGCACCAATGCTAATAATAGCAACCATTTATTAAATATGCACTTTAGGCAAAGAATTATGCCAAGTTCTGTACATATATTGTCTCTCCTAAGTACCACAAACCATAATCTGACAGCTAGTGTGATAGAGCCAGGGTTCTAACCAGATCTTTGCTCCAACTAAGGTTCTTGATCACTTCCTATCATGTCTCACCCCTTTTTTTTACTTGGGTATTCTGGGATGGAATTAAAACTTGGCAGTGGATTTCAAACTGTAGAATGTATCAGATTTACAGTTCTTGGGAAGCATACAGTCCCTTGGCTCCAACTCCAGACATACTGGGATTTGTTAGGGCCAGCACGACCTAGGAGCCTTTTGTTCTTTTACAAGTTCCCAAGGTAAATCTGATGTAGTTTATGGTCAGTGGCCTTATGTTGAGCAAAACTGACTCGAGAGAGGAGAGTAATGAAGTATAAACTTGAGATAATGTCAGCTAAAGCATGGAAAGGGAAGATGGTACTGGAAAAGAAGCCCAGGAAGGAGTGACAGAATAGTGTTCTGAGTGTGAAACTGAGAAGAAAAGCTTCCAAACGATAGATTCAAAACTGTGAACAAGGGTAAGCTGAGTGAAACTTCCAGAGGACATGGAACTTACCATTTGACATTGTCACTTAACAATTTTTAGTTGTGTGATTTTTTTTTTTTCCTCCAAGGAATTTAGACTAGCTTAGTGTTTAATTTTACCTTGTAACAGTCTGTGAGGCAGGGTCACTGTTTAATTTATGAAATGCTAAAAAGATACCAGAAAACTTCAGTCATTCAGGGATATACATCTCGGAAGTGATTGAATGATCTCTTAAGTTTTCAGATGTTAATCTGTAAATTATGTGATGTCGTCAATCTTAAAATTGAATTTAATTCTACGATTAAGTGTACATTTGTATATGCCTATTTTCCATAAATGTTCCATCACTTACCTCTACTTCCTCCTACCTATGTTACTAGTAAGATTGAAACAGAAAGGAAATTATAGGTAAAGTTGAGTGTATTTCTGACTTGTGAGTGGTTGAAGGTTTCCATTTTGAATTATCTTTATGGGTTTGTCTACCATAATTATAGCTAATTAATTCAAATATTTGGGTATCAATTGTGTGCTTAATAGACATTGTTTCTAGATTTTGGTGTGTATTGGTGAAATAACAAACAGGTTTTTCTCAAGGAGCTTACATTCTGAAGAAAGAAGGGATATAGATTGTAAATTTTTTTTTTTTTTTTTAAAGATTTATTTATTTATTCATACAGAACTGGGGTATAGGCCAGAGATGCAGAGGGTGAGAGGATTCACCAGAGACAGAGTGGGGAGCAGAACAGGCAGATCGACGAAGTACACTGCTGAGGGGAGCAGCGGGCGGGTCAGGAGA